ACCCGGGGGGAGGGGAGGGGGAAATTGTCGCGTGGGTGTAAAGAATTATTTATTTAATAATTTTTTTCAAAGATGATCGCGATCGTCATACGTTAAACATGTTGAAATGAGTTTTTTTTAAGATGAAAATAGATAATTAATTAAAAGAACCAATGAAAAAAATTGATTTTGATGACGTCATTAATTATTACGTAGGTGTTTTCTAGTGACGGTTACTTACCGTGCATAAGATGCACAATTTTTTTATTTTTTATATTAATAATTTATTATTGATTTTGCAATGCGAAAAATTAAAAATGGCGTCGGTGTTGTTGTTGTTTTCGTTACAAAGTTGTCTTTGATACGTAATTTGAGCTTCATTTAAATTTTGTTAACGATCCAAAAAAAATTTTTTTTTTATTTTTTTTATTCAATTTCACTTTAGACATTTTTTTTTTTTTTTTTTTTGGTGAAGAAAAATGCTTTAGTACGCCAAATTAAAATTAATGACAACCGAAACAAATTTTCGCTTTGTGCTTTTTTTTTTTTTTTGTAAATTTAAAAAAAAAAAAATGGCTCGCGAGATGTCAGTCAGGTACATCGTTCGACGATTTCGTAACGGTTTTTTTTTTTTTTTCAAATATTTTAGAATTTTAAAATGCGCAAAATTTAAAAAAAAATAATTTTTTTAGGATATTTGTCCTCGTTTTATTTTTTTTCTTAACGAGCGTAGGTGCTTTATGTACTGATTTAACTTTTAAATTCAAGGGAATTTGAAAAAGAGAGAGAGAGAGAGAGAGAGAAATAAATTTTTTGTCTCTTTTTTATTCAATATGGCCGCAAATATTTTTTTTTATTTTGTATTCGTTAAAAGATTTTATCGGATTTTTTAAACAAATAATAACAAAAAAAATTTCGAATTTAAATTTTTTTAAAGCCAAGGTTTACGTTTTGAATTTACGACTTCCGGTTTAACGAAAAACAACCTTGCCCCTCCCCCCTTTTCCCCTTCCCCCTTCTCCTCCGTGATAGGGAGGACTCTTCCGGTTTTCGAATGCGCGCGCACAAAAAAAATTTTTTTTTTTTTTTTGAATTTCCCGCCAATTCGGTTTCAATAACCGGGAACGATCCGAATTTTGATTTAGTTTTTTAAAAGAAACCAAAAAGAGATGGAAAACTATCTCTCTTTCTCTCTCTCTCTCTCTCTCTCTCTCTCGGAGGTAAACCTCGGTTAGGTACGTACGTATCAGGTTCCAGCCGTATCATTTCTAAATAAGGTTGCATTTGGTTAATTGAAGATTGTTTCAAGGTCGAATTAAAAATTATCGTTATTATTATTATTATTACTACATTTAATTTTACAGTGTTGACTTTAGTTGACTCCACGTCTAGGTCGGTTTAAATACATAATAATAATAATAATCGAATGAGTGAGTTTTTGATTGATTGATTGATTGATTGGATATTCGGTGCGTTACGGGAGTAATTGATGGGAAATTTTCTATTTATAGTCACGATTTTCTAGACGTCTAAGATGATTTTTTTAAATCGTTTTGTTTGTTGTGCAAAATCGGAAACGGGAAAATCCCTCCCTTCCCCCCCAAAAAAAAAATTATTTGGGTGCAGCAAGTTGTAATTTATCAAATTTAAAAATTAAAAAAAAAAAAATTCAAAGAAGGCGGTGGGGAAAAAAATTTTCGATGGAAAAAAAAAAACAATTTTTTTTAACATTTAAATAATTTTAAACGCGTCGGGTAATGATAATAATAATAATAATAATAATAATAATAATAATAATAATAATAATAATAAACTGGATAAAATGCGTGAGGGAATAAATAATATTTATTATGACGGGGGGAAGCCCCGAAGAAAAAAGAAAAGAATTTTTTTTTTTTTAAAAAAAGTTTTCGAATTATTAAATTACAAGGCGGGGAGTCGGAGGGAAAAGGAGGAAAATTCTTGAACGGGGGAATTAATGAAAAAAATATTGTGCAGGTTTTTAAAACGAGACGGAAAATTCTGTTTGTTTTTGAAAAAAAGGTTTGTTGTAGGTACGAATAATTACGAAGGTTTTTTTTTTTTTTTTTTACGTGAACCTCTAAGCGGATAACGAAAATAAAATGAAAGAAAATTTTTTCGACGGAAACTGTTTGTATTATTATTATTATTATTCATTCATTCATTCATTCGGAATTGAACGCAAAAAAAAAAAAATGGCGGAAAAGAAAAAAAATCGGTTTTGACGCGAAATAGATAAAAACGTTTGTCAGATAATTTTTTTTTTTTTTAATAAATAAAACCGCAAATGATAATAATTGAATTATTTGAATGTTTTCGACGACGACGACGACACCTTCGTTATGAAAATCTTCGTTAATCTTCGTTACCCTTCTCGAAAGCGTTCGTTAATCTTCGTTACCCTTTTCGAATGCGTTCGTTAATCTTCGTTACCCTTTTCGAATGCGTTCGTTAATCTTCGTTACCCTTTTCTAAAGCATTCGTTAATCTTCGTTACCCTTTTCGAATGCGTTCGTTGATCTTCGTTACCCTTCTTCAAAGAGTTCGCTAATCTTCGTTACCCTTCTCGAAAGGGTTCGTTAATCTTCGTTACCCTATTTTTCGTAACTTTAACTTAAATAATTTTCGTTACTTTCTTTCTTCTACCCGTTTTTTGATTACGCGTATATATAATTTTTTTTTTTGGGGGGGGGGGTTGGGAAATCTAAAGCGGAAATTCGAACAATTCAATAAATTTTTTTCCAACACGTTTTTAAAATCTAGCAAATAAGACAAAAAAAAAAAAAAAGAATAATATGTATAAAGTCTCTCGTCCAACCGTAATTGAATTTCATTTAAAAAAAAAAAAAAAAAAAAAAATGGCGGATAAATTTAATGAAACGTTTTCGCGAGGCCGTGCCTTCTCGTTGTCCGTTGGCGTTTTTCACGCCTAAATCGGTACATTTAAAAACTCACGTAAGGTATTTTTAATAGCAAGGTTTCGTATCTCCTTGTGTTTCAACCTGAAATTAAAATTTCCACAATAATAATAATAATTATCTCGATCGAGTTTGCGACGGCGACGGCGACGAGCCGACATTTTTTACATACTCTTCGATTTAATTTTTAATTATTATTATTATTATTAATCTTTAATTAATAATAATCGAAAAAGAGGGAGGAGGAGGAGGAGGAGGAGGGGGGGGAAGGAAAAGGAGACGTATAAATAAATAAATAACAAAAGTCATTTTAAATGAAATTAATTATTATTTTATTGATATTTCGATTTAATTTACGATCGATCGATCGATCGATAGTTTTTTTTTATTAATTTATTATTAATTTAAATAATAAAACGTTTTTTATTAACGTTCGATTCGATTATTTTAATTATCGATCGATTCGATTCGTTGCGAGTCGATGTACGTATGATAATCGAAGGAAACGACCGACCGGCGGTAGTAAAAAAAAGATGGCGGGAGGGGTTCTTCGGTAATTTTTTACCACCTACGTCGAATCATTGTCATTCAAATATTATCGATAAAGCAAGTGATGTGAGGTCAAAAGGTCAAAAGGGTTGTTAATAATAATAATAATAGCAATTATTTGCAAGGAGAGAAAATTAAAACGAAAAAAAAATAAAATTTTTTTTCCACGGATTTCATCATACGCCTAACACGATCGTATTGCAAAAAATACGTCGTCGTCATATACGAATCCTACGCTTGCTTTCCAGTAATATAATGATGATAATAATAATAATAATAATAATAATGATAAAAACTGGGTTTAAAATCAAACGAATTTACCTTGACCGCATAAACGTAAATGCCCTTCGTAAATGTTGTTTGTTGTTGTTTGCCCAGCCCAAAAAAAAAAAAAAATTCATCCGTAGTAAACTGGTTGAAATTATTTTTTTTATAAATTTTATGTTTTTCCATATCGTGGAATTAGAAAAAAAAAAAAAGAGAGAGAGAGAGAGAGAGAGAGAGAGAGAGAGAGAGAGAGAGATAATAATTAATAATAAATTTTATGTAACGAAAATTAAAGAAAACTTTTTTTTTTCGAAAATAAAAAAGGTTAACGAGTTTCTACGAACGTTTCGACAAACGCACAAAAAAAAATTTTTAATTAATAATAATAATAATAATAATAATAATAATAATAATAATAATAATAATAATAATAATAATAATAATAATAATAATAATAATAATAATGATGATGATGATGATGATTTTCGCGTTCGTTTCAATGTTTTCCGAACGGATTTTCCCCGCGAAAATTTTTTTTTTAATAAACACGAACGCGAACAGGGAAACAAACGAACAAACGAACGAACGGGTGTAAAGAGAAAATTTATTAAAAGAGATTTAAATTAATTGGATTAGAAGAATTACCGAGGGATTAAATATTTCGGATTAGGATTAACGTTTAGCCGTTTGTCGTTTGTTTAATTGAGTGATTTAAAAGAAAACTAGTTCGTTTGGTTTATTATTATTATTATTATTATTATTATCGATAACGCGACGCGGCTTCTGTTTTGTTTTACCAAATTTATTTATTTACTTCCTGCAGGAATTTTATAAAACTGTCTCGCGTTTTTTGACGTCACGATTATCACGTCATCGTTTGAAAAAAATAAATAAAATCATATTTCGGTAAATGTTTATTTTTGGACAAACGATGATGCGTAATTAAAAAAATGTCGTCGTTAAGGTATTACGTCACGATGACGAAGGTGGTGACGTAGTGAGGGGGTCCCTCACCCGATCCTCGTGTTTTGTTTGTGTCCAACCTAAACCGTCACGAAGATTTTGTTTAAATATGATATGTTTACGCGAGGTTTTTTTTTTTTTTTGTTTTCCATACCTAGTTTTGATACCTAGTTCTCAAGGTTGTTCTTATAATAAAATTCATCGGATTGACGAGCCTGATTAAGAAAAAAAAAAAACCATTCATTGTGCTAATCTAGTTAGATTTTTTAATTTTATTTTTTTGTTTTTAATTCCAGATAAAAAATGACAAGCGTACAGCATCACATCGTGACGCAAACCCATTCGACAACGACACATTTAGATAATCACCTGGGTAATAAATTTTTTTTCTAGAACTTTTTTCCTCCATTTTAATCACGAAACGATTGTAAATTTTTTTTTTTTTTTTGCGTTTCCTTCAGATGCACTCCTAGACGATTTACAAACGAGTGTGACTCGTCCGGGCACTGCTTTGGCTTTGGCAACACAAAGCAATCATCAATTAATGAATGGTGGAACCTCACCTTTTGGAGGGGGTCAAATTAATCTTCCTCCAGGAGCTAGCGGATATAGAGAAATAACGACGACCGTCACGCGGGACACGAATGGAGTTCCGATGACGTCCAGAGAATATCAAATCGAATATTTAAATCCGGCTAATACGGTTACGGTCCTGGATGAACGATCTCCGAGTCCTTCGCTGGAGATTTTGGTAAATTTTCTTCTTGTTTTGTTTTTGGTTTGTCGTGTCCTGGATGGAAAAAAATTGTTTTTATCTTCTTGCAGAAAAGCGGAGATTTGGCGGGTCATCAAATTCAATCTTTCAAAACGGAAGTTTACGATTATAAAATAACGAAAACGAGTTCTTCGGATAAAAAAAATTCGGCCGGATACGTCGCCAATCAGAGAGGACTGGAAGATTCTAAAAGTCACGTGACCGAATCGAGATCCTTTTACCAGGATACGCCGCAGATTCAAGACGGAGGAACCGCACAATATTCGAGATCGGAAAAATCCGATAATTATCGGGGAGAAACGAAAGTGAGCAAAAATCTCAACGAATTGGACATGCTTTTGAAAGAATTGAATTCTCCACCGTCTGGAATGCCTGGAGAAAGTAGAACGACGCCGAGGAGAGAACAAATTCACTCGGTTGAAACAAGAATGGCAAGGAGTTCGGAAAGGTAAGGAAATTGTCTCTTTTTTTTTCTGTAATTTAAGATCCGCCATTAACGTGATCCCGTTTTTTTTTTTTAGAAGTTCCGATATGCCGTCGACGATGCCGAAAAGATCGGCTTCGGCTACCCGAGAAATGACTTACACTCAGGAAAGAAGTCATAATCGTATGAACCGTGACCAAAGTCCGGTGATACCATCGGGTAGTTCGAAATCACCACCGAGAAACGTCAACGTTAAACGCGAATACGTTATGGAAAGCAGCAGCACCAGCAGCAGCAATCAGCACATGTCAAGACGAGACAGCCCGAGTGAGTTTTCTTTTGCATATTTTTGAAATGATAATTTTTCTATGTTTACGTAAAAGAAAATTTTCTTTTTCAGGTACAAGGAATAGATCAGCGGAAATGTCTCCGACGCTTCGTAGAAGAACTCCAAGTCCATCGGGCGATTACAGGACTTCGAATTACAACAATTATCCGATGACGCCTAAAGAAATGTCACCGACGACGAGAACCGTAACGACAAAAAGTTATAATTATTCATCGAACACCGGAAGAGGAGGTGGAGGAGGAGGTACTCCTCCGACAAATTTTGACGAACCTCAACCTTACAGGTCACCCAGTCCTGTGAGTTTTCCGCAAAAAAGATCGCCGTCGTTGAGCGGAAGGAGCGTGAATCGAAGCGATTCCGGTAGAGCCGTTTCTTACCAGGTACAAAACCTTCACGTGATCACTTTTTCCTTTTTTGGGTACAAAAAAAAAAAAAAAAAAAAAAATTTTTTTTTTAAAACAGGTTTCTCCTCAACCTTCCGAAAATCCAGCTGTCATCACTTATAAATATTCAAGCCATTCTAGAGAACAAAGCAGGTATCCCGCTGGAGGATACGAAGAAAGAAGAGAATATAGAGAAGAACCCACCGCATCGGGTAGACCTTTTCCCTCCACTACTCCCGTACCTACCGGAGAAGTGCAGAGCCCACCGAAGAAGCTCGATGATCTCATGGCATCGTTTCAAGATTCAAACGTAATTTATTTATGTTAACGACTTTTCGAAAACAACATTTCCTTCTTTCTTACTTTATTTAATTTATTGCTTCGTTATGTGGTGGTAGGTGAGGTCCCCTCAGGGCGGCGGTGGCGGAGAATACACGCATAAAATTGAATACTCTAGAGAATCTCACGAGAGACACGGAGGAGGAAATTTACAAAGATCACCATCGTTTGAAAGAAACGTGAGACCATCAAACGTCAATCAATCTTATTCTCACCAACAGCAACAGCACCATCAGCAACATCATAATCAATATCAACACAATGAACAATATCAACAAAATCAATCGTACCACCAGCAAAGGGAACAACATTCATCGGGCGGATACCAAAAAGAATTTCAAAGAAGGGAAGAATACCACACGCAAAATCAATATCCAAATCATTACCCCCAACAACAACAACAACAACAGCAACAGCAGCAGCAGCATCAACAGCACCATCAATATCATCAATACCAACAGAATCAGGGTAGTTATCAAACGGAAGGAAACAGGGAACAATACAATCAATATCAATACCAACAAAATTCTTCATCAAAAGGAGGAACGAACGAAGCCATGATGAATTCTTCACAATCCTACAGATCGGGTTCGGCAAGTAAATCCGTGGCGGGACCACCCGTGTATTATCCACCAGGAGTCGAACTTTTTACAAAAAAAGAAGAAGCCATGTTGAAAGTAAAATCCTTTGATTTAACAAAAAAAAAAAAAAAAAAAATCCTTCCCGTTTCGTATAAAATTCATTTTTCATTTATTTATTTATTTATTTTCAGGAACAGGGTAAGGGAAAGAAAAAATCAAAATCGGAAAAATCAAAATCAGAAAAATCAGGGAAAGGAAAAGGTGTTCCATTGTGTTTGCCCGTTTGTTGTGCCATGCCTTGTTGTATAATGTAAACAAACAAACAAACAAACAAACATATATATAATTGTGTAAAATGTAACTAATCCGTGTCATTAGACAAAAAAACGATATTTTAACGACAAAAAAAAAAAAAACGAATTTAACATTATTAACGAATTCATTATCATTATTATTAATTTTTACGCGCGTTCGATCTATCGACGATTATTAAATAATAATAATAATAATAAATATTATTAAATATTTTGACAAATAAATAACGAATAAAAAAAAATTCTTCCTACCTTTTTTTTACGACCGCCATATTGAAAATAATAAATAAATTTATTAACATATCGGCTTGTTTATTAATTAACGCGGTGATGATGATCATTTAAATCAATCGTAATTAATAATAATAATAATAATATTTAATTAATTAATAAATAAATAAATGTAATTATATATATATTTTATAAATAAATAAAATTTAATACATTTTAATTTATTTTTATTTTTCATTCACGCCCGACGGGGAGTAAAACAATGTAAACAAAATAAAAATGGCGCCGAAATAAAAATTAAAAAAAAAAAAGCAGAAGACGTAGCATTATGACGTAGTCATTTCTTTTTTCGAATACGTAACGGTTAAAATTTGTTTTCATCTCCGTCAATTAATTTTAATTATTTATATTTTTAGTGTAAAGTTTTGTTTAATAGTAATTGTTTTTAAATCGAATATAAATAAAATGTTTATAATTATTATAAACGATGCCATTTTTAATTTCGATTCATTTGAAAATAATTAAATAATATTTTACCGGTCGGTTGACGACTCATCGTTATGCATTTCGCGTACGTGTTTTAGATTAAGAACAATTTTAGTGTGAAAACCATTAAAATAAAACGTTTTTAATTAATTAATTAAATAATTTATTTTAACGTAAGTATTAATTAATAATTATATAAGATTTAAAAAAAAAAATTTTAATTAAATCTACTTACAAACAATTAAAATGGTGAGACTGCGTTAGATATATCTATGCAGTCACGAGATGACAAAGCTTAAAAAAAAAACATTTTTAAATTAAAAAAATTTACCATGCCGTATTAAAATCTATATAAATCCCATTCATTTTACGTTTCAAAAAATTTTTTTTTAAATTTAAAATAAACTCATTTCGTATTGTAATTTTATACGTGATCATATGTCATCTTAAAATTACCAACTGTCATGGCTGCTGTTAATGTTTTGTCATTTGGAATCAGTAAACGAACGATTTTAACTACTTGTGATTAACTTTTTTTTTTTTTTTTTTTTTTTAACTACAATTGTGTGTCATATTAATTTTCCGTTCATTTATAAATAGTTAATAAGAAGGAAAAGAAAAGATTTTGTTTAAAAAAATTATTATTTGCATTAGAAGTCGGTAAATTAAGTCACATATTAATAAATCAAGTAAGTAAAATTTTTTTTTGAGAAAAAACCGTTGATTAATTATTATTTAATTAAATTAAAGTTTTAAAATTTATTTAATTATTATCACGTGATGTAAAAAATTATAATTTAAAAAAATTTTGTTGATTCATTAAAAAAAAAAAACAAAAAATTTCACTAATTAATTTTTCTCATTTTATCTCTACCAGCCTGTTTTTGATTTTTTAAATTTATTTTAAACTTATTAATAAATTTTCATGTTAACAATAGAGATAAGACCTTTTAAAAAAAACAAAAAATAAAATTTCATATTCGATAATAATAAAATAATTAAAATTAATTTTTAATTTTCAGAAAATTGTTTTTTTTGTCTTATGTCGATTCGCTCATTAATCATTAATCGAATATTTTGATGGATATTGAAAATGATAAAATGACATGTAATGAAAATTCTCAATCGGATAAAAATGTACATTGTTTTACTAGTAATTCAGCAGGAGACATCACATTTTCCATTTTTAGTTACATTAAAGAAGCCATCAAGGTTTGTTATTGATTTCAAATTAAAAAAAAAAAAAAATTGTCATCTCGATTAATAATAAATACATAAATGTTACAGATGATGGCACTAATGAGAAATCATCGAATGCTTACCGATGTGATATTAGAAGTCGGTGCAGAATCGTTTCATGCTCACAAAGTTGTACTCGCAGCTGCTAGTCCATATTTCAAAGCCATGTTTACAGGTGGATTGAGAGAATGTGAAACATCTCATGTTAAATTACAAGGAATATGTCAAACAACAATGGCAAGGTTATTGCATTTTATGTACACTGGTGAAATAAAAGTGACAGAAGTGACAGTTTGTCAAATATTACCAGCTGCGACAATGTTTCAAGTAAGTGAATATTTGATATTTTTACTTATAAGGTTATCCACCATTTTAATTTCTTCTCGGAATGATCATGACAGGTTTCCCATGTTATCGATGCTTGTTGTGATTTTCTAGAAAGGCAATTACATCCATCGAATGCAATCGGTATTGCTAATTTTGCCGAACAACATGGATGTAAGGAACTGTCGAAAAAAGCGAATCAATTTATCGAAAGACATTTTGTTCAGGTATGATGATCATTATCATCAGATACTCATTATTCGAATGATTCGAGTCAAATTTAACTTTTTTTTGGTATGATTAGATATGTAAAGAAGAAGAATTTCTCCAGTTGTCTGCATTACAATTAGTTACACTGATAAGAAAAGATGAGTTAAATGTACAAGAAGAAAAAGAAGTTTACAATGCTGTTTTGAAGTGGGTAAAGTTTACATTTTAAATCAATCGATATTTTCCATTTTGTTTTTTTGAGTATTTTTATTAGGGATAATTAAAAAAGAAAACAAAATTTCAGGTTAAGTACGATGAAGAAAGTAGAAATCCAAAAATGGAAAATATTTTATACGCAGTACGATGTCAATATTTAACCCCTAATTTTTTAAAAGATCAAATGAAAAATTGTGACGTTTTAAAAAAACTTCCTGCTTGTAGGGAATATCTGGCAAAAATATTCCAGGTTTTTGTTGTTCCCTTTAAAATGTTTCTTTGGGGGTTTTGGAGTCGATTAATAATTTTTTCAAATTCGTTTTTCGTAGGATTTAACTTTGCATAAGAAACCTTGCGTCAAAGAGAGAACTCCAAACACTACGAGAATAATTTACATAGCCGGTGGATATTATAAACATTCCCTTGATATTTTGGAAGGTTACAACATAGATGACAAAACGTGGGTCCAATTAGCTAATTTAAGACTACCAAGATCGGGATTAGGGGGGGCATTTTTAAAAGTACATACAATGAAAATTACATTCTGTAATTATGATTGTATACGTTTTTTAAATGATTTTTCACGTTTGTAAGGAATTAAAGATGGCGTCGTTTGTTTCAGGGTGAATTTTATGCTGTAGGTGGTCGTAATATATCACCGAGAGGAAGTTTCGATTCGGATTGGGTAGATAGATACAATCCTTTAACCGATACCTGGAGTCCGTGTTCTTCTTTAAGCGTTCCTAGAAATCGTGTCGGTGTGGCTGTCATGGATGAACTATTATATGCTGTCGGTGGTTCTGCTGGTTTAGAATATCACAGAAGCGTCGAAAAGTATTTTATCATTTTGTTTTTCTACGACGATACCCCCCGCTTTTTCTTTTTTGAAATTTTGCACGTCGTTTTAGGTACGATCCGGAAGAAGATCAATGGACGACGGTTGCGTCGATGAAAAATAAAAGGCTTGGAGTCGGTTTAGCCGTTGTCAATAGAATATTGTACGCGATCGGAGGGTACGACGGTGAAAAAAGGTTGAATTCTTGCGAATGTTATCATCCGGAAAATGACGAATGGAATTATATAAAACCCATGAATACAAACAGGAGCGGAGCAGGTAATCGAATGTGGTTCCTCAAGTTTCACGGGTGGTATAGCTGAAGACGATTACGGTTTAACATAATAAAGGAAGGAAATGTTTTTAGGAGTCGCAGCATTAAATCAATATATTTACGTCGTGGGGGGTTACGATGGTGAAAATCAACTTAAAACCGTCGAAAGGTACGACACGGAAAAAAATTTTTGGGAATTTGTCGAACCAATAAAAGCAGCTAGAAGTGCTCTTAGCGTTAGCGTTTTAGATAATAAATTATATGCTTTAGGTAAAGATAAACAATTGAATGTTTTTTTTTTTTTTTTTTTAATTCATTTAATTACGAGGGTTTCCATGTTTTCTCTCTATCTCTCTCTCTCTCTCTCTCTCTTTAGGAGGCTACGACGGTTTATCATTTTTATCAATTGTAGAAATATACGATCCGGAAACGAATTCATGGGAAGAATCAACGCCTTTGACAACGGGACGTTCCGGTCATTCCAGTGCCGTATCCTATCATCAGTGTCCAAAACACAGACGAGGTTTTTGAAAAACGAATAAAAAAAAAAATTTGTCTATTAATATTATTTATTTCAAACGAAAGAGTTTATATAGTTTAAACTAGTCCATATTTAATAATTTAACGCTTTAGTCATTTTCGATTGTTATTTAATTGTAGAACGAAGAGAAGAGAAAAAAAAAAGTCTATTTAAAATAATTTTTTAATAAAATAAAAACAAATATATTTAAATACATTTTTTTAATTTTTTTATTTAATTAAATAAAATAAATAAAAAAGTAAAGTTAAACCGTAAACGCGTTTGTGAAAATGAACGTACACAGTCACGTGACCCCCCGTCCGTCGGCATCGAAAAGTTTCTCGCGCGTTTTTAATTTCGTTTTCGGGGCCCTTTTGTGACTCACGCATGCTCACCCCACCCTACGTAAATGCGGACGGCCATTTTAAGAATTGTCGTGTTGTCGTTTTTCCGCGATTTCAAATTAATTACAAGGTTTTTTTTTTTTTTTTTTCGAGTTATTTTTTTTTATTTAAGTTTCATGTTTTAATATCATAATTTTTTTTATTATTTAATATTTAATCATCAGGGATAAGGTAAAAAATATAATTTTATTTATTTATCGTAGTTATAAATATAAAAAAACGGTACTTTGTCAACAGTAGTTTCTACACTTTATAAAAGGTGATCATGTGAACCGGTTTGTTTTCACCCAAGCCACCATTGATGCAAAGAAAAAAATTTTTTTTATTACTTTATTTTACTTTATTTTCGCGACAATTGTTTTTTATTTAAACGTTTATTCGTTGTATCAAGGTACGTTTTATTAATTTAATTAATTAAATGTTTTATTTAAATTGACATTCACATGTTACAACATGATGAATGATGTCAGTAAATTGCAATGGCGGTCGAAACCACCTGTTATACATGAGAGCCTACTTTGATTTTACAATATAATTATTCATATTATTTAGACTTTGTTTAAATTATTCATTTTAATAATTATAATAATAATAATTGTGACTTAATTTTTTATTTTACGTCGTTCATTTAATTCTTCAAAGTTTCTTTTATTATAAATATTTGTGAACACACACACACACACACACAAAAAGGAAAAAAAAAAAATTAATTAGCAAATTATTTTTATGTCATTATTTTATAGGTGACATTCATTTAATATTAATTATTATCAATTTAAAAGGTTTTTTCTTTTCTATTTTACTTCTTGTGTATACTAAACAATAAGTTTAAAAAAAAAATTCTTCTTTTTGTTTAAAGTTAATTTCTTTCCCCCCTCTCTCTTTCTCTTTCTCTCTCTCTATTCGATAAATATTTTTTTTTCATTAAAATTTTATTACCAATAATAATAATAATAATTTTTTGTTTTTAAATGATTGAATTTGTAATTCATGCATACTTATACAATTAATAATAATATTTATTATTAATTTCGATAAACTTTTTTTTTTTTTTTTCTTCATTAATTTGTCGTTTTACTTTTCTCAGGTGTTTGTTATACAAAAGTCGAAATAACAATTTTTTTTTTTTTTTTTTTAAAATCATTATGTACTCATTATTATCATTATCATTATTAATTTACTGGGGTTTTTTAGTTTTTAATTATGAATAATAATAATAATAATTTTCTTTTTGGAAATGGGTAAAAAAAAATTTTACATCGACAATCATAATAATTATATATTCGATAATTATAAATTATAAATCAATCGAATTGAATTCATTAATAAAAATTTATTATGTGAATTTTTTTTTTGTAACAATTGAGATTTTCTTTCTCTCTCTCTTTCTCTTTCTCTTTCTTTTTCCCTTTTTCTTTAAGGAAAAAAACAATTTTTTAAAAAAATTAATATTCGAATGTGAATTTAAAATCATTTTTTTTTCTCGAATGTTAAAAATTTTTGATTTTCAAGTCACAAATTTATTATTATTATTATTATTATTATTATTTGTTAAAAATCATGTTCTACTCATGTGTGTGTGTGTGTGTGAGTGTATACATATGTGAAAAGTGTAGGTGTTTGAATGTAATGTAACAATCAATTGTTAGATTTTATCGAGTAGATTATGATGAGTTAAACATATTGACAAATTTCAATTCGTTTTTCACATTGATGATAAGACATTATGATGGTTAGAGTCGAATGAAAGCATTTTTTCTTTACAACTTATTGAAATGATTAATGATGAAAATGTTTTTTAAGGTTGTCTGTCACGTGTGACAACCTTAAAAAAAAAAATTCTTGTCTTATCAACAAGAAAAATTTTTTTTATCAAATATTGCATCAGATGTTTGATTGTTTTTTTTTTTTTAAAAATTATGTTTATGTGTTTAAGTAAAAAATTTAAATTTTGTTTGTAATAAGTAAAAACATTTCACTTCTCTCTCTCTCTCTCTCTCTCTCTCTCTCTCTCTCTCTCTCTCTCTCACACACACACACAAACTCTTTCATTTCGAGTGTTTGGAAATAAAGAATTCATTGGGAGAGTAATGAAAATAAGAAAAAGAGAGAGAGAGAGAGAGAATGTTTCACATGCTATTTAAAACAATTGATGAATCGAAAAAGAAAGAAAGAAGTCAAAGGTTATTTTAAAGAAGAAGATGGAGAAGAAGAAGAAGAAGAAGAGAAAATCCCATTTTAAATGGAGAAAGTATTTAGTTTTTTATTATTGTAAATCCATGAATATAAATTTCGTGGCAGGAGAACGAAAAAAAAAAAAAAAAAAAATTGTTTCGGAAATAATTTACCTTAATTTATTATTATTATTATTATTATTATTATTATTTATGTCAGGCTAATGAAAAAAAAAAAATCTATTGAATGTCTGAGAAATATTTTTTTTTAAAAATCGAACTGAACTTTGTTGTTGTAGTTTTTTTTAATGCCAAAAATGGTTTTTTTTGTTTTTATTTTATTTTTTCTTCATTTCATGGAATCGTCGACGTAAAAAAAAAAAGGAAAGAAAAGGAAAAACAATAATAATAATAAATAAAAATAATAATAATAATAAAAGGAAAAATAAAGTAAAAAACGTTTCCGCCCCATCAAATGATTAATTTAATTTAATTTTTTTTTTATTTTTGTGTTGTTTTCTTCTCGTTTTTGCTTTCCTTTGTTTAGAATCGAGAAATAATAATAATAATAATAATGATAATGATAAAACGTATTAATAAATTAACCCCGATTAGATGACGATTATTAGGTTTTTGAATCAGGAATAAGGAAGAATTTTTTTAAAAAACCGCGAAAAATGCGGGGGCGTGTTGTTGTTTCCTTTGTTGATTTTGTCAAAACAAAAATTAATTTCCCCCCCCCTCCCCCATTTTCTTCTCTTTTAGAAAAGTTTTTTCTTCTGGTCATTTACCCCCCCCCCCCCCCCCATAAACTCCTCCGACATTTTAAAGTCGTTTTTCGATAATGTGACGTCATTTCAGACGATGATTTTTTTAAAAAAATGAATAAATAAATATTTATATTGAAGTTGTAAAGCGTGTGTGTGCGTGTGTGCGTGTGCGAGGTGTGTCCTCTCGTTGCGTTTCATATAATATTAGAAAATGTGATTAAAAAGTTTATTAATAAAATGTTATTTTATTCGAATTTATTATTATTATTATTGTGGTTGTTGTTGTTGTTGTTGTTGTTGTGCGGTGTCTGCCCTTCAACCTACGTAAAAATTGATTGAAAATTAATTTTTTCGAGGTTGTTGTTGTTGTTGTTTACTTGCTGGAAATATACGCAAATAAAAAAAAAATATATAACCTTTGATGGTTGTTTGATTTTTCTAGAAAACCGACCGGAAATGATCGTCTCCCTACAAAAAGATGCCATCTTGTTTCCTTAATATTCGTCACTTATCGGTTGTTCATCGTGACAACGACAACAACAACCAGAGGTTGAAAAAAAAAAAAAAGTGACGTCACTCGGTTGTACTAATTCATTTGTTTGATGGTGAAGAGATCGAATGAGTGATTGATTGATTGATTTATATATAGGATATTTAACGTTAGAAACGAATTGATGATGATAATAATAATAATAATTTTTCTTTTTTTTTTTTTTCTTTCCAGATAAGAGTGATTTAGAGTCGAGGAGCGAAAAGGAAAACCGTCAAAATGCCTAAATTAGTAAGTGTTGACAAAACAAAAAATATTTTTTTTCCGCCATTTTTTCTTATTATTATTATTATTGTTTCTTTCTTTCTCGACTTCTTTTTTTTTGTCACTCGTATCTAGCAAGATTTTTTTTTTTTTTAACGTTTAATAATTAACATATTAATTAGTGCTAGGTGCGAAGTACGCGAGTATTGTTGTTATTATTATTATTATTTGTTACTCCGTCACCTTTTACGCACTGACGTCATCACCGCGATTTTTTTTTTTAATTGGAAGGTTTAAAATCTTGAAATTTTGTTGTTGGCTGGTTGCAGGAGAGAATTAGTGTTGTGTCTCTCTTTTAGAATCCGATATTTTCGGGGGGTGGGGAGTGGGGCGGGGAGAGGGACGTAGAGAAAAACAAAATAATAATAATAATAATGATAACATTGAAGTCAGGTATGAATGTGACTGTCGCGTCGAAAGAAAAGAAGAAGAAAACCAAAGAGTGTGCTACTGCTGCTGCTGTGGCGAAAACGATGAATAAGTCTTTGTTTTTTTTATACCTTAAATATATCGGGGGGGGGATAACGCGGGGGGGAAAAGGTAAACGGAAATCGTAAAATATTTCATGTGCAATTGCATAATTATAATGACGAAAATAAAAAGTGCATTGTACGCTGATCAAATAAAATAATAATATTGCAATCGGAATTTGTTTGTCAAGTTTTTTTATTGTTTGATTGTTTCTTTCTCTCTTTCTTTCTTCCATTTCTTTCTTTCATTTTCTACGAGAATGAAAATGTGCGATGGAAGAATGAATACGTGCGAACGTGCGTTTTTTCTCTCTCTCTCTCTCTCTCTCTCTCTCTCTCTCTCTCGTCTGAAGATGCTCGATGAAATTCGAAAGAGAGA